AAAGAACTTGACCTAACTCTCTAAGATGAGGGAGAATTTCTTCTCCCCCAATTTCTGACCTAACTTTTATGCCATGTTCAGACTCAAAATTCTTGCAGCACACGTAACATAAATGAAATCTAACTATATGGTCATGTTCAGGGCTATGATTGTGACATATTTTCTTCACAAACCTAAAGCTAACAATGCCTAATAAGAGAGATAGAACTTCATGAAGATACCTGTTCAGTTGGAATCGTGCTTTGCAATGGAGGATGTTTCAGAGTAAAATGATGATTTGTATAGCTTCCTTGAAGTGTAAGGATGCTATTCCAAGTTCTACTTTGCCTTGAAACTCCCTGAATCGTGCTGGTGAACTTCAACTACAAAACAGAAAAGCAAAAATGGTGAAGTGGCTTGGAGGTGTTACAGGTCAGGTTTCAGGTTATGGTTAGCTTGCATAGATAGTATGGAAGGTATGTGAACTGGTTTTGGCAAGAATGCTTGAGAGAAATAGAAGTTGGCACTCAAACTGCAGAGGCAACCCTGTTTTTGCAGTTTGAGAGTGATTCTGAGATGGAGGGTGGATTGGAGGTCAAAGACTCGTGCAAAAGCTTGGGTATGATGTCTGGAATGTGTTTGACAAGTTTGTTCTTGTGTTTGTAAGCTGAGATGAAAGTTGTTGTAAGTTATGCTATGTTACTTCACACTTAAGCAAACAAAGGCAAATTGTGCTTCTAGGCCTGTAGAGGAACTCACACTATGCTGCATAATCCCTCCTTGATCAGTGTGATTAACACATAAACTTGTGCCAATCAGATTTGCAATGTACTTGTTGGATTCTCAATTGGACATAAAGTGATCTTTTGCAAAAATGGAAAGAATGCTTTATCTAGTTTGGGATTAATCTTGCATACAATGTTCAAACTCATAGAACAACACCTTAACACAATGAATATGCATTAAATTATTGAGTGCAACTTGGTTTAAGGACCTGTAATCTAACCTAAAGCATGCTGAGTTCAAATTGCAAAGTTATGAACATGGAAAATGGCCAATTCAAAAGTGAGTTTTTGCTATATTGTGAAATTCGATTCTCCCTAACCATGAGGTTGTTTGATGAGTTCTTGGACATTTTGGAAAGCTTGGAATGTGTACTAAAATCCATCTTTGAAATGCAAATTGAAATTCCAAGTGGAAGTGTATGGAAAATGGCCTTGAAGTGGGGTAAAAAACTTGTCCAAAATAGGTCAAATTTTCACTAAGTTAAGAATGGTTTAGTGCCCTTATTCAAAAATTTGTAACTTGAGATACAAGCTTCAAATGAGAAAACTTTGTGAATCAAAGTTGTAGATTATGTAACAAGCTACAACTTTCATGTTTTGACTTTTGTTTGAATCCAAATGAATCATGGTGAAAAAGTAGGGCAAAGTTGGGAAAAAATTAGGGTTTTCCATAACTTAGAAAAATTCTAAGTTATGAAAAATTCCATTTTAAAACCCTAATTTGCATTTCTTGGTTTCTTGGTGAACAAGTTTCATGATTTGGCATGTTTTGATGAAAAATAAATCTTGACTCTTGATTTTGACCAAAAAGTCAAAGTTTGACTTTTTAGTGTACAGTCAAAATTGATCAATTGACTGGGAAATTCAACTGTCAATCTTGTGTACTTGGGATCTTTTGAGCTTGATGAACATGTCAAGATAATTCCATGGGGTCCTTGAGTCCATATGTGAGCTTGGTTTGCCATTGGCTAGGTCAAACAGTCAAAAATTGCCTTTGTGCAATCAAAACCCTAAAATGACCATTTTGCCCTTTTGATGATCTGATCAAATTTCTTGTGGATTTGTGATCCAAACTTGATCAAATGGTCCATGTGAGTTCATAATGTTGATGTGGGTCAATTTTCATGAGATTTGACTGTCAATTGGCCACAGTTGACTTTTTCCCCAACACAGCTGATTTTCAGGTCAACTGTCCAATTGACTGGGCAAAACTTGGAATCAAGACTTGAAACTTGGTATGGATAAACTTGGGAGTCCAACATGAAGCATGAAAGTCATCTTAGGCATTTTAGGTCAAAACATCCTTGGGCAAACACAAACCCTAATTTGAGTCCACAGTGCAAGGAGAGGTCTTGAGCAGAGGAAACCCTAACTGGATCTTGATCTTCAAGGGTCTTGTGATGAGAAAATGTTGAGGAAATGGGAGGGCAAATTTTGGGGTACAACACCTACCAATAGGTGAATGTACCATCACGCTAGAGGATGTGTACATGCTACTAGGTCTCCCTGTCGACGGTAAGGCCGTGAACGGGTCGGTTCAACAACTCAACTCTCAGCGTGAAGAACTGTTGGGTAGGGATATGGTGGAAGGTGGTGGTGCGAGAGGTCAGGGAATACTACTCACTGAGCTGAAAAGTCATTATGCAAGTTTGGAATTAAACGAAAATTCCTCCGAGAATGACAGGGTAGTAAAATCCAGAACTTATCTTATGATACTATTTGGTACCTTTTTATTTCCCGAAAGTACGGGAAATAATGTAAATTTTATGTATTTACATTTACTAAGAAATTTTGAAAAAACAAGAAAATATAGTTGGGGTTCTGCAGTTTTAGCCCACCTATACAGTTCCTTGTGCAAAAATGCAGTCAAGGAAAAATGTACATTTTATGGGTGCGCTTTTTTACTATAAGCCTGGGGTTGGTGGAGGATGGAGTCCTTAAACCCCGTCAACAACAACACTTTCGGTTTTCCGTACGCAACAAAGTAAGTCATCAAGTTATAACATTTATTACTATTCATCTCTTCCCCAAATATATGCTAAGAATAAAATGTTTTTCATTTCCTTTAGGTACTGTGTGAGGGGTATGGATTACGGCAAGAATCCAAGATTCAATGTCGCACTATACCGCAATCTGTTGGATCACTTAGGCCCGGATGACGTACGTCGTAGCTTTTAACTTTTCTTCATTTAAATTATTTATACATTACTTTTGCGTTAACCTGATTTAAATTTTATCGCAGTTCATCTGGAGACCATATTTGGATTTGGACCATGATCCAAACCCGGAGGATGCAGCAATTTGGACCGCGAAGACTGCAATCATTCAGTTCAACATTATGGAGATGCACCACAGCGACCATGTGAAGATGCAGTTCGGAATGCATCAAGAGATACCAAGTGATCCAACTTGTTTGTCCCCATGGCATCTTAAAAGGGTCGACGCCCAGTGCGGTCTTACCAACTGGAAAGACTTTGCTCCGGAATGGTGTAAGATGTGGCAGAGGCGTCACCGATATGTCTTACAATTCCCGGTTTTCCTTAATCAAGGTAATATGCGATACACAGATCAATATTTGTCTTGGTACAAGTCGATTAGTAACCTTGAAATGCACGTGTCTCATCCAAGGTACTTGGTTGACCCACGCACACAATGGGCACAACCCTCGTTTCCCCAACAACAAACCCAAAACCCACCAACCTCCCACCAACCCCCAAGAAGAAACAGACCCACAAACACCCAACCATAGTCCCCACCACAACATAATTACACTCAAATGTCACACAACCAACCACACTACCAATACCCCGATATGCCTCACACCCAACCACAATACCAATCCCAATACCAATATCAGCACACCCGCATACCCCACACACAATTTCAGTCTTCCGTATATCCCAATATGGGCCCCTCAACATCCAGCCTTAGCCCTGATATGGGAATGTCGGAAGATTACGAACAAACCGACCCAGCCTACCATCAACCACAATATCACCAAACCACCCAACATCCTCAATACCAAACACCCCAAGATCCATTTCTTTTTTACCCACCGTACTCAGACGACCAATGCTACCGACCCACTATGGAACCCCACCCACCGCCAACACGACCAAACTTTGAGGGTATGGGTAATCGACTATACCAAAGCGGATCTTCTAGATATGGAGATCTGACTGATTTTATGGATCCGGACCGCATTGACTTCGTTGGGCCATCGACCTTGCCGCAGCAGGAAACGCGACGACACCCAGCACGAGAAAGGCGAGGACGGGGATGCGGAGCCGGGGGATCACTGATTTATCTGTTTTTTTTTCCTGTATTTTTTTATCCGTTTTTTTATCTGTTTTTTTTAATCTGTTATTTTAATGTAATACAGTTGGATGTAATTATTATTTTTTTAATAAAAAGTCCATTTTGTTGATCCTGTATCCAACATGCAACGCACCGGACAAAAAAAAATCACATTTTGCCCTAAAATAACACCTAGGCGCCATCTCACTTGGCTTAGGGCATGCCCTAAGCACATAGGCGCCAAGTGAGATGGCGCCTCCCCTTAAAAATTGGGTGCATGCGCCAATTCAGATGGCTCCTCCTTTGAGGAGTCATCTGAAACATGGTTATTTGCGTAATTTTTTCCGAAACGCGGTTATTTGCGATTTTTTTTTTTAATACATGATTATTAATAAAAAAAATTCTATAATAAGAGTAACCTAGAAACATGGACCGTGAGAATACTACCAAATCAACATTATTAACTTGCCTTTAGTTTTTGAAAAATTGATATGTACCCCCATCATTCTCGTGAGGCCTTTCTCACTGGCTCACAGGCCAATAAAGGCAACTCATCACTACTCACTCTAGATCACATTTCAAGTTTCAATGTATCTCATTCTGATCAACCTGGCTCACCTTAAATCTATTGTTGTTTAATTACTTAATTAGTCTCTTCAGCTTCTTTGGTGTTGCTGTTTTCATATTCTTACTTCATTCTGGTGTTACTCAAAGTAAGATTTTCGTTCTCTTCATTACTATTATTTTAGTGTCACTTTGAATATTTGACAACTGTTATGTCTCATGATTTTAAAAAAAAATAAAATATTTTTGTGTAATGTATACTTCACTTTGTTTGCTTGCAGTTTCAACTTTGAGCATCAAACTAGAGTTTTTTAGTTTGGCTTTTAAAAAGGACGTGAATTTGTGGCATTTCTTCACAGCATTGAAACCATCACAATGGTGTCTACTTGTGTGAACTTTAAGACCAATACACATATAACATACTTGAGGAAAGACAATATTTTTCATCAAGATAATGGTTTTCTAGGTGAGAGAATCAAAGTGGGGGTGAATTACAGTCCATGGATTATTAATCAGATGGAAATATGTTTGAAAACCAAAGAGAGGGTTAAGAAGTTAAAACATGGTGTTGTGTCTGCTGTTCTTACATCAAATGATGCCACTGAGTCTAAGGTAAGCTAAATTATGTCATGTGATCTATTTCCTATCATAGTTTTAAATTTGTGATTGCGAGTCAAATTGACATGTCCTGTGTCCGTATCTGAGTCCGTGCTTCATACTGGGACAACTTCAGACATTTCAGGTTCCATCTTTTTTGAGAAGAAAAGCTGACCCTAAAAAAGTTGTTTCCATCATATTGGGAGGAGGTCCTGGTGTTCAACTTTTTCCTCTTACCAAACGAGCTGCTACACCAGCTGTGAGTAAACCAGATCATTGTCTTTGTTGACTCAAAATTTGGGAATTGTTTTATTCTGTAATGATACATAGTACTGTTTAATTTTTTCAGGTTCCTGTTGGTGGATGCTACAAGCTTATAGACATTCCAATGAGCAACTGCATCAACAGTGGCATCAACAAAGTATTTGTATTGACACAATTCAACTCGGCATCACTAAACCGTCATATCTCTCGCACCTATTTTGGAAATGGCATCAACTTTGGAGATGGATATGTAGAGGTATGTATCAAGGAATTGGTGGCTAATGGTGAATGACACATATATTCATAAAAAAACTAATATGAACCAAAAACGCAATAGGTTCTTGCGGCTACTCAAACACCGGGAGAATCCGGGAAGAATTGGTTTCAAGGAACAGCAGATGCTGTGAGGCAATTTACATGGGTATTTGAGGATGCAAAGAACACAAACATTGAGAATGTAATAATCTTGCCTGGAGATCATCTATACAGAATGGATTACATGGATCTTGTGCAGGTTTTCAATCTATTTGTTTCATATGTTGAAATATTTAATTTCTTCATTTCATTTTAAGTGTATTCTGATCATTTTGAAACATATAAGCAGAGTCACATAGACAGAAATGCAGATATAACAGTATCATGCGCTGCTGTTGGTGACAGGTACCAATATGTTATGTTGAGCCTTCTTTTTTATGCATGTTAATTCATTGTTTGATGAACATACATAATTGTCAAATTCAGTTTTATCTAAGTTTTATTTCCATTTGCCCGATTTTCAGCCGGGCATCAGATTATGGATTAGTCAAAGTAGATAGCAGAGGCCGCATCATCCAATTTTCAGAAAAACCTAAGGGAGCTGATCTTAAAGCAATGGTAAAGTCCTATACATGTATGAAATTTCAAGTAAAACAGTTTAGTTTCTTGCCTCTTGATTACTATCCGAAAGTAGAAACAAAATTATATACAAAATCTCATTTGTTGATAACTCTATCAATTGACGGATAACAAATACAAACTCTTAACTAACTTTATCTCTAATAGTTCTTGATGCTTTTTTATGCAGCAAGTAGATACCTCTCTATTTGGATTGTCACCTCAAGATGCAATAACGTCGCCTTTTATTGCATCTATGGGGGTTTACGTATTCAAGACCGATGTTTTACTCAAGCTTCTAAAATGGAGGTATCCCACATCCAATGACTTTGGATCTGAAATCATTCCAGCATCAGTGAAGGAATACAATGTCCAAGTAAGATAAATTTGACTAAATAAATACATCTACTGTTTTCCTGAGGTAATAACGATACAAGTTGAATGTCGATTTCATCTTTCTTTCAGGCGTTCTTTTTCGGAGACTATTGGGAAGACATTGGAACAATACAATCATTTTACGATGCTAACATGGCTCTTACCGAAGAGGTAGGTTGAAGAATCAAGATATTGAGTAATTATAAGTATCTTATTTAAATTTTCTTCTATCATGAAACTTACAATGTTTGTGATATATGCTACTCTTGCAGAGCCCAATGTTCAAATTTTATGATCCCAAGACACCTATTTTCACTTCTCCAAGATTCTTACCACCAACAAAGATTGATAAATGCAGGGTATGACTATGTTCATCTCTCTTCGAAGTTCGATCTTAACCTCTTTGTATCATAAGATGCTTTTCTTTACCAGTGTTTGAGTTGCTCTTTTGTAGATTGTGGATGCAATAATCTCACATGGCTGTTTCCTGAGAGAATGTAGTGTGCAACACTCCATTGTGGGTGAACGTTCACGTTTGGATTATGGCGTTGAACTCAAGGTAAACTACCATTATTTCTTTACCAAGAACAATACAACCAAGGCTATAAATTGTGTTCGCTCCTTAGTTAGCCACGGTTTAACAATGACTAAATCAGAGGCTTCATGCCGGCCATGAACACTATATATAATATAATACTCCTAACATTTAAAACAATCTTTTACAGGACACTATAATGATGGGAGCAGACTCTTACCAAACCGAATCCGAAATTGCTTCTGAGCTGGCAGAGGGAAAGGTTCCCATTGGAATTGGAAGGAACAGCAAAATCAGGTCATCTTACTTGCAGTAACCACGACTCAAGATGAACACTAGATTATTGAATTCATTATGTTGGTTTTAAAAGTTAACAAAAACTATAGATATTATCTAGGCTAACATATAACCGGTAGAATATTGAATGTTCATTTGATATTTGTTGTCTTTGTTGAAGGAAGTGTATAATAGACAAGAATGCTAGGATTGGGAAAGATGTCATCATCATGAACAAAGATGTAAGAATAACTCCCTTTTATATTTGATGTCATTTTGTTAGTTAGCAGTTTTTTAGCACGAGATCATCATGAACTAAGCATCGAACATAAGTATCCATCTATCTTATATAACTGGATTCAAATGTTTTGTTTGTAGGGTGTTCAAGAAGCAGATAGACCTGGTGACGGTTTTTACATCCGATCAGGAATCACAATTATAATGGAGAAGGCAACAATAGAAGACGGCGCTCTCATATAGAGAAGTATTCCAACAAGCATTTTGGTTTTTGAACTGTAAAAATAGAATGAAAATAAATGTGTGTAAAATATAGATGCTCATAAATAAAATGATGAATGGTTGTTTGTGAACTGTCATTGGGAGGAACAAATTCCATAGTAGTTTGGGTATGAACACTTTTATGTTATATATGTTGCATTCACATTTGTGTTTCGAATTTAAACTATTAAGTCCCATACATAATATAATATCTTTATTTAGATGTTGCTCCACTAGTATGATATGCTACTCCCATTACACACCATATATATTCCTAACAAACTTATACCAAGACTTCTCTGATATTTATATTAGCAGTGGCCAAAAACTTCAAAGCCCCTTCATGTTCCAAACTATCACATGTCCCTTTTTCGTAAGCTCGGAGGGATTCAAACTATTCATTGCCTTTCCCATTAGGGCCATGGCACCAACGCTTGGAAACGGCTTGTTTTTTAACTCTCCTGCCACACTGATTGAAGACTTTGAATCACGATTCTCAACTGTTTCATGCCTCTTTTTAGAACAAGCAGACCGATTTCTCCATCTCTGAATCCAAGGATGCGAAAGTGTAATTTCTACAGCTTCCTTCGCTTCGACGTTTGATAATGGTTCTAGTACCGCCTGTCCTTCGGCTTCAGCGTGACCTTCATCATTATATTCCGTTTCCTCTTCCAAATTAGTTTTGCTGAAAATATTAGTTAGTTTTACATGTGAAGTTTCTCCAATATTTTCACTCTTGGTGCCAAGAGCATGTTCTGATGAGCATAACTTGAGCCGTTTGACCCATCTGCTACTTGGGTCTGATCCCAAAGAACTATTGCTAGATTTTGACGCTGCATGTCCTTTTTCGTGAGAAAACAGTTGATCCACATCAAGGCTACGAGTTCTTGATGTGCTAGTCTCAATGTCAACCATGGGACTGGCCAGAGTGAGCAGTTCGTGGGGCTCTTTGTTTATATTCCCAGACTTCTCTAGGCTTTTCCCTCTAGCAGAAGTTGCTGCACCTAGAGTTGAGAGTGAGTTTTGACTATCCTTGGAGCCCTACAAAATTTAAATTTTCATGTAAGCGGAACCTAATTGTGTGTGAGAGTTTGTGTCTTGGTATGAAGTGTAATGATGGATCATTAAAGTTAGTTTTGTAATGTCATACAACACTCATCATATAATCAACATAAATGTTAAGCTAATGAAACCCTTTCTTTTCTCACAAAGAAAAACACTGTATATAAAGTGTAACAATCAGATAATAATGAATATCAATTAAAAGCTTAGGCAATGGTGCTGATGGAAAATCAAAAATGGGAAACATTACCTTATTTGATGGCATTGGAGCTTCGCCTGCAATAGATAGGAAGCGCACAATTAGTTCCGACAAAATAAAAACATTGAAAACATCAAACTTGTGCAGAACATGTTGTTTTACAATTAAACAACCGAAGTTATGGAATAGTAAACATTATACAAGTATTAATCAAATTCAAACTCAATACATCTCAAAAAATTTAGTAATTCAAAGTCTTAAGGATAGCATTATATGGTATGTCTATTCACAATGAACATATATACCTGGAAGATTATTATTCTCATGTGAAGTACCAATGTCCATAGTGTCGGGTTCAGGAGTTGATCCATTCGTCACGCTAGTTGGACATTTGAAACCGGGAACATTTTCCTTCCCTTCACTTTTTACCGTACTCCCTAGAGTTTCTAGTTTAGCACGGTCACTTGCGGGTGGATTCGGAGATAAATCAAGTATCTCATTGAAATTATTTCCTTTGAATTTTGTAGGTGGCACTGACTCTCTAAAAAACTGACCTTTGTCTGATAAATTAACACCAGGAATTTTCGACATCAAAAAACGATGTGTTGCTTGGGAAACGTTGGGAAGACCTCTTGATAATTTTTTTACGGAATCTACATTGGTGTATTTACTTGCATCCTTCACACCATAGACAGATTGTGGCACTTGCTCTACCGAAGAGTAAAAATTCTGTGGTTTAGTTGACTCCAAAAGTGAAGTCTGGTTTGTAATGTTTGGATTATCAATTAAATTTTGAATCTTGTGGTGCAGACTACCAACAACATTGCATCCGTTGTCATCACTGTCAGCTATGGGATCGTGCGGAAAATGAGTGAAGCTGCCTCGCATCAATCTTGAAAGGGAAAATCGTTGATGGTCTAACAGGCTACTCATCTGCTTCTCAGGGACATGGGGAACAGAATAACTATGAAATTTAGTGTTTGTGTAATGTTCTTGGGATGCTGAATTGTAGCTCGATGGATATATTTCGCGCGGTCCACCTGTAACTTCATTCATCGCAGATTTTCCTTTGTCGCATACATTTGTGGGTACTATGTCAGAAGATGATTTTACCGGTGTGAAAAGAGTTAAGTTCGTTGGTTCAGTATCCGTCAAGGATCCAATTGGCACTCTTTGAGACAATAATTGACACTTTTCTATTGAAGTTTCTACTTTACGAGGAGCAGATACTAATGGCCACCTAACTCTGCTCAGAGAACCTTTGTCATCAACCGAGCATGATTGTGTTCCAGACTTTCCATCTTCCTTGCGGAAAGATGGTTCGGAACCAAAACCAACCATTGTGGCCTCGGTTGCCTCTCCAACTACCCCAACAACATCCCCGGATCGATCTGATCTGACCTCCGGTCCAACACTCAAACCACTCGAGCCAGGATTTACAGCTGACATGTAATTTGTATGATTCCAATGAGCCATCCATGGTAATAGATAACCATAACCATAACCATGCATTGCATGAGCATCCACTTTCTCATCATTATCACGCATTGTCGCTATTTCGATCTCAAAGACTTAATCAACTCAAACAACCGTTCAAAACCTGAACTTCACACACATTGAATCATTAGCCTCCATTAAAAGAAAAACATCACATGCAAAACTAGATCACAAGTGCTTAAACACTGTCACATGCAAAATGCAGAATATTCTTAACTACTTAACACATAAACTACCGCTAAAATCTAAATCATAGAATATACGTCGTAGGAGCTAAATGAAAATCGAAATAATTCCACTATGATTGTATTCAATAAAGACATATAAATCTACGGTAGAAGCAAACCTAATTCAATGAAAAACATAATTCGAAAATCAAACAAATAAGTTCCAAAATCACCTTCGTAAAAGAGTGAGTCGGAAAACCGAAGACTGAGTTGGACGAGTAGAAGGGAAAGGAGATAAAAAACGAAGGAGAAAAAGAATTGCTTAAAAAGAATGAAAACAGTGAAGTGTTACGGTCTGTAAATCAACGGTGAGAAGCTGGTGAAGTGATGAGTATAGAGTCAATCTAACCGTTGATTGAGTTTGTACTGTATTTATTTTGTCTTCTTAGTTTCAAGTACTCTTCTCTTTCCTTAGCCACATAATCGAGGAATACGGATCGGTCCAATGGGACCCACCCTGTACACTTTTCTTGTTCTCCCATTGGTTGTTCCTCGTTGTCTTTTTGTGATTTGTTTTGGGTTTTTCATTTCTCCTATGTTTAAACCTACGCGGAAGTATCGTGACCACTTTAAAATCAATTTTCTTTTATTTTTGTTTTTGATGAAAAGACATTTTTGCTTTAGTTGAAAGGTTGCGAATCTTTGGTTTAGTCCAAATTATCTATTTCCTTCCGTTTCTTTTTAAATTTAAATGTCATTTTGAGAATAGTTTTTTTTATTCTTTGGCTAGCAAAATTTAAGATAGTATTAATTATATTTTTCTCAAATTTATTTTTAATCATTTATTATAGAAAGAGAAAAAATTAAATATATGTGACAAATAATTAAAAGTGTTATAGGAAAAAAATTATTATATAAAAAATAATAATTTTTTTTTGTATATCTAAAAAGTCTTAAAATGACCATTAAAAAGAAATCGAGAAAATATTACTTCATCTGTTTTAAAATGATTGTCGTTTAAAGTTTTTGCACACAAATTAAGGAATATAATGATGTTGTCATAATATATTATATTTTTAAAAAATTAACTCTATTAATATATTAAAAGTAGTGTAGAGAGTAAAAAGTAAGTGACACAATTGAAAAAATAGTAATCATTGTTATATTGAAAAGCGAAAACGAGAGTTATTTTGAAACAAATTTCATTTGTTAAAACGGCAGTCATTTTAAAACGGAGGGAGTATCATATAAGAAAAATAGATGTTTTAGAAAAGTCTAAAATATCCTTTTTGCTTCTCAGCTTGCCACGTGGATGGACTAATAAAATGTGATCTTATCGGTTGATCAGAACCTGTAAGGAGACCGGATGATGATCTGTAGTCGGGTTGTGATGTCGATGAGAAAAAATGGGGTTGTACCTGCAAGGCACTCTGACGATCAAGTAAGAGAGAGAACAATGAGATACAAGCAAAGTGTTAAGGTATTGGTGGTGAATAGTGAATATTCGACACTTGGGCCTCACAGGTGTGAGGGTTTATATAATTCCCCTGACACATGGCCATTGGTTCTTGTTTTTACGCCTGGATATGCAAGTACGTAAAAATAGGTAACTGTCAGGACTTGGTCAAACCGGGCAGATGTGCCTGTAACTAGCCGTTGGTTCTGAGGATGAGGCAAGTTACAGGCATCTCTCTGATTGATTCCTGGTGGTCTGCACGACTTGATGTCGGGCAGACTAAGAGGTGCCCGTCGATCATCCCAGGCGTGTGTCGGCTTGGGGGGGCAAAGGATCGATATTGCCCGACAGAGAGTCAAGCGGTTTGGGCCATGAACGTGTGGGCCGTATCGAAAGAAAAGGTTAGCTGGGCTCATACTAGTTGTCGGACCAGTCCAGAACAGTAGTCCCCTAAGTCGTTTCTTTTGAGTACAGGACTAATGACTTTAACACCTGCTCGTGGAACGGGGCACGTCTTACAAGGAGAATGAGTGTCGCTTGTTGTGCCTTTCTCGCAAGGAGATGAGGAGTTGGTCGTTAGGAGCCTTGGACTTGAAGAGGTAGCGTGTTTTGGGTAGCATGCTGGAAAAGCGGCGCAATGATGGCCTAGGGGCTAGGGTGTAATGATGACGACCCTAGGGTTTCCCAGGCGCGTGTCTCGCACGCACGGATGGCCTCAGCTATAAATACGAGAGGAGTAGGTAGTTTAGTGTTTTTCGTCTTCTCTCTCAACTGCTCGTAATCGCTCGACTGTCGACCACCATCGTTTCTTCAAATTTGTTGTTCGTTGCTGCTACTTCCAGCCTTCCTTCTTCTATTAACTGGTAAGTTTTCAGTTTTTCATCGTCGTTTGCTTTCAGTAGTTCATATTTTTGTCATTTTCTTTCTAGAGATGCATGCAGTTAGGGTTTAGCGTTTCGTCTGTTAGGATGTCGTTGGGGAGCGTTGGTGGTAGGCGACGGTTATGTAGTTTAGAATCGTCGGAGCCATCGTGGAATCTCCCCGGGCACTTCATGATGTGTCGTAGATGTATTTTTTTAGTTAATTACCTTTGCACAATTAGGGTTTTCTACTGTTTTAATTTCAATTTGTCTTTCCATACAATCATATACATACATCTAAGCAGTTTATAGTTTGCAGAAATTAAAATGCGAGAAACTAGAGTCCTAGCTATTACAAGGCTTTGGGCAGATACATAATTATTTTGACTGAAAATAAAATGCGGAACTAAAACCCTAATTACTATTACAAACTCATAGCAGTTACAATAATAATAATAAAAGAAAGTTAAAAGCCGCGCGGCGAATTAAATGCGAGAAATAATTGGAAAACCTAAAAATCTAATTGAGAAAATGTTTAGGTTATTTTTGAGGAAAATTAGGCTATGTAAAAATTTAACCCTAATTCTATTTATTTTAAATTATGAAAAAAAAAATTAAATTGCCTTAATTTAATTAAAACTAATTAATTAATAAAAATATTTTTATATAAAAAAAATGATTTTTGATGTTCTTGTGATTTTTTTGATAAAATAAAAAAACATGATTTTTGGTGTTATTTAAAAAAAGAAATAATTAATAAATAATAAAAAAGAATTGAAATAATAAAAGTATAATTGAGCCTGCATAAGAAATCCAGGGGGGATGCATTTCCAAATTTGCAAAGGCCCAAGATGATGGCCCAGAGTCTAGCGCATGATTCCCTGGGGATCTCCTTCTGATGATTCATGGTGGACCCTCAAGGTTGAGGCGTTGGATATGTTTGATGATGGATCCCAAGGGTGAGATCTGAGGTGTATGGTGGACACTGGGTGCTGAAGCGCATGAAACCTGCAAGGGATTTGAAGAAAAAAACAACAAATGTTGGAGGCAGGGGTCGAACCCCTGACCTCTCACTTATAGCACCTTAACAACCTTCCTGCACGCCACTGGGCCAGTTGGCCTTTTGTTAATATTAATACACGAAATAATATATAATGAAAACACGCATAGTGCCCAGAAAAACATGCTAATATTCAAATGGTCCAATGGGTCATTTCCACGCAGTCTTCTTATTCCTCAACATCGTCGTATTAGGTAAAGGCTTTTACCTATGGTTCAATGCCTATAACTAAAACTTATTTATCTCAAAAAATCTCAAATAAACAAGATAAATGAAATCCAAGTAAACCAATCAACCAGGCTTAATCTCGTGAGTATGATGATACCCATCTTTTGCCCTGATTTTACCTGTATCAAAAAGCCCTAAAATGCAAGCATAAACCCTAATAATGGCAATTTTCCATATATGCATCAAAACTTATAACTAATCATACCAATATGTTCCAAATGACAATATAAACATGAAGGTATGCTTAAAAAATGTTAACCATGCGCGAATAATCGAAATCGAATTCAAGAAATATGGTAAACCGTGAGAGATATGAAGGCTGATTCTGGGCGTCTTAATGTGTGCAAATGGTTGGAGAAGCTTCTGTAGGTGTCCAGGAACGTGTTGCAATCCTTAAATCTCCTTGAGGATGGCTCTAATATGGAATTCGTCTTGAGACTTTTTGGCAAAAAGTGGCAACTTGTCTTGGCAGCTTCACGTGGTCAATCCTCTCTTTTGTGCTTGGGAATTGTTCTATATATGTAGTGCACTGAATTAGGTCAACAAAAAGTATTCAAATCTTGGAAAATTATGAAGATTGGATTTGATTTCCTCTTTGCATTATTTCTTCCTAAATCAAGCCAAATCATGCCATTCTCATCCCAATCACCCTTTGCACGATTTTATTTTGTTTGACATCATAATTGGATTGTGATTCTATTCAAAATCAGATCAAAAACAAATCTTTACTAATTTATATCATTTATTTGATTTAATTTGATTTTTTAAATGATTAAAATCAAAATAAATTAAATAAATAAATCCAAAGATATGTGGGAGAGTGTTTGGGTCGTGGACCATGTTAGAAGTAAGATGCAATCATGAAAAGCTAGGCCCATTTGACAAAAAATGCACTTTTGAGCACATTTGATTTTTGGCAATTTTCCAAAAATGGTCAACTTTGACAATGCATATCTCTTCCAATTTTAACCCTAGAGAGGTGTTCTTGGACTTTTTAGGAAGATTATGATGTCCCCTAAACAACCCTTTTGGTTTCATCTCAATTGGGTCTTCCATGTTCATGTAAGAAGCTTTGACCCAAAAGGTATTTTTGTTGACTTTTTAAAAGGACCTGTAATGTAGAAATACATATCTTTTTATGAATGCATTTTTTGAACTTGAGGGATGAAGATGAGTTGTAGTAAATTGTATTCTCTTAAAAATGAGCCTTGGGTGAAAAATGTCTGATAAAGTATGAGAAAGTTATGCTTGGTCAAAGTTTGGTTGACTTTTCTTGAGAAACCCTAATTTATCAACTTTTGAGTTTTGATGAATTAGGAGAATTCCTTGAGGAATCATAATAAACCTTTGATCAAATGATGAATATTACTTTAAAATGTTGATTTTGACCAAAAATCTTGAAGTTTGACTGTATGTGGGCCACAGTTGACTTTTGACCTAATATAGTTGATTTTCAAGCATCTGAGCAGTTGATTGAGCAAACTTCTTGTGCAAGGCATGAAACTTGGCATGGATGATCTTAAGAACATATTAGGACCATGGAAAATATTTGAGGCCTTTGGAGCTCACCCATCTTTATGAAAAGGGAAACCCTAGTTGGAGGTTCCTTGTTTTAGGAGAGAGTTTGTTTGGCCAAATCTTGGGTATCCTTGAGCAAGTTGAGCATATGTTGAGTAAAATGGGAGGGAAAATTTTGGGGTGCAACAATGATGAAGAAGTAAATGTGTGAGGTTAAGAAGTATAATCATGTGTACTTGAATTTCTTTCTACTCTTTATTATATTTTCTTTTATATTGTTATGATATCTCACCCCATTTGTTTGAATGTTTCCTCTACATGGGTAACATGCAGATGATCCGAAGTAGGTCGTGGTTGAGGCTAGATGAAAATTTGTCTCATTTCACGTAGATTGAGTCGGTGTCAGCTCTGATACATAAC